ACTGTGGTAAAACCATGCTTAATTTGACAGTTACTATGGTTTTACTTCAAAAGCAATTGTAAAACGGTTTTACTTTGTAGTTACTATGGTTTTACTTCAAATCCCATACTAAAACTATAGTTAATTTTGTAGTTGCTATGTTTTTTTCTTTGAACACTGTAGTAAAACCATGGCTCATTTTACAATAACTGGTAAAACCACTGTTCATGTTGTAGTTACTATGAATTTACATAAAACACTGTGGTAAAACCATGCTTAATTTGACAGTTACTATGGTTTTACTTCAAACACCATAGTAAAACTATAGTTCATTTTCTAGTTACTATGGTTTTACTTCAAATGCCATTGTAAAACTGTAAAATTTAGTTGCAGTGGTTTTACTTCAAAACACCATAGTAAAACTTTGCTTCATTGTGTAGCTACTATGTTTGTAACTTCAAACGCCATAGTAAAACTGGAATTACTATGATTGTACTACAAAAACCACAATTTAACTACAGTTACTACAATAAAACCACGATTGATTTTCGTGAGGACGTACTCGTGTTGACTTTGTTATAATGTTCTAATACTCACTGAGGGCAGCAAGACGTCCTGTGTTGAACACTGTGTGCTAGTGCATTGCTAATTCTCTCATCTGTGTGCTGCTAGCAAGGTAGACGCTCCATTAGGCTCAAACACACAGCATGAATCATTGAGCACTGTTAATTCAAGACTTCCCCCAGGCCAGAGAGAGGGAAAACCGCCATAAACAGAGGCTTTTTACAACGATACACTGAATCAGACAGCCGCAATTAATTCTCTCATCTGACGCAGCACAGCTTGTTTTGAAGGGTTGCTGGGTTTGTTTCGAGTTTAGAGACAGAACTTGCTTTTTTTTCCTCAATTTTGGTTTTGATAATGAAGAAATGAAGCGGTATACTGATTTAAAGTAAACACAAACCTTGTCTCTGCATGAGCTGTGTGTGTTCGGGTTTTCTCTGCAGTCTGTATTATCTTTGTTAAGCTGCAGCGACATCCAGTGGTCTAACGCTGATACTGCAACCAAACGTACATGAAGAAAATAACATTCAGAACGCAGATTTTATTGATTTTATGAACTCGTAGACTTTCTATCATGTGTCTAATGTGCTTGTATTGTCTTGGTCAACCTTATATGTGGATGACCAGAGATGGGTTTGGACTTTTAAGGGGGTGTACAGTAATGTAATGTTATCAAAGCAGTACGCTGACTGGATTTTCAGGAAGTTAGTCGGGCAAATAATTGACTTGGGTTTCATTTAAAATTAAAAACAAATTCCCAAACATTATAATATATACTGCTCAGAAAATGAAGGGAACGTTGTGTTGTTCTAAGCGTTCCCTTTATTGTTTGAGCAGTGTATATTTGTCCGTCAAAATAACTATGTTTGTTCGGCAGTTTAATTCATTCATTCATTTTATTTTCAGCTCAATCCCTTTATTAATTCGGGGTCGCCTCAGCGGAATGAACCGCCAACTTATCCAGCACGTTTTTACACAGCTGATGCTCTTCCAGCTGCAACCCATGTCTGGGAAACATCCACACACACACTCATTTACACTCATACGCTACGGACAGTGTTTGGACTGTGGGGGAAACCGGAGCACCCGGAAGAAACCCACGCAAATGCAGGGAGAACATGCAAACTCCACACAGAAATGCCAACTGACCGAGGCTCGAACCAGCGACCTTCTTGCTGTGAGGCGACAGCACTACCTACTGCGCCACAAAAATAATAATATATTTTTATTAAAAAAAAAAAAATATATATATATATATATATATATATATATATATATATATATAAATATATATATATATATATATATATATATATATATATATATATATATTTATCTGTATATATATAGATATATATAAATACATATATATATATATTTATATAACCAAAAATATGTAAACTATCATCCTGTAAAGATATTTTCCCATATTTTTCCTCTAGACTTTTCTCTGAAGGGTGGAATATCATGCCAATTCCATGCATGTTCAATAAAAAAAGGTCTGGAGAGGGTTTTCTTCAATGCCAAAAATATTAGTAATTTATTAGATACAGATGAATAATTGGATGACAGAGCTCTGGGTTACATTACCCCAATGCAATACAAGAATTACATTCAGAGGTTCGCAACTAACATACATTTCCTGACTCCAGCATATATACACAACTGATATTAACAGGTGGAGTTTTGGTTTAACGTCACTTCTTTGTCATTCTGCAGTCCCTTGGCCCTTTGTAACCCCAAGTCATTACTTTCTCTTCTCTGCATACCAGAACTGAACAATCACATGCATCTTTAATATA